TCTCTTATGTGCTGTATAGTGGTACTGCATGTTTGGATGCCCTTGCAGTAAAGTTGTAAATTGACTTGTTAGGCCTTAAAGATGATCTCCAGTGTCAAATTTAATCTAATAAGTGTAATGATGTTCTGTTAGATTAAGTATCCAGTACCACCATATCTCACTGTGTGAGAAAGCCTGTCATTATCACTAAATTCCTTGTCTATAAAATGCAAGAAATTAAGAACTGCCAGTTGAACACCACAGGTTACATTTCCTTAAGTTCTGAAACGTGAAGTATAATAGACAAATTCAATTTAAGGGCTTTAGGACTGAATGTTTTCTGCTGAAGAATCTTTGGCCCTCTGGTTGATGTCGATCAGGTCGTCATCTATGTTGGTTATGACCATTTGGTATAATACAGAAGAATGAATAAAATGTTCATTACTTGCATTATGATTGTTGTGGATTTAGATAGACAGGATGTTAATCATGACTAACCAGCCTTGCTCCTTGTGAACTACCACCCTGCAGAGTTTAGTTCTAGCCCTAATATAACACATCTGAATACTAGAATAACAGAGTTGGAACCAAACCCTGCAGTTTGTGCAATTTTTATTTGCTTAGTTTAACATATTGGAAAAAATAAAACATACAAAATAAAATTCACCAAAGCTCTTACACAGGTCGCATTTATTTTTTCTATTTTCCAGTGCGTTAAATTCAGCAAATATATACAGTAATTGTGCATTAAAATGCATAGAGGTTTGTTCTCTGTAGAGGATGTGTTAACTTCCACTCAGTTCTTCACTTTAGTAATACAATTGCAACGATATATGTGGTCAATGTGCATATTGCAGTTTGATTTTTTGCAATGTGTCTATCGTGGAAATTCATATCATAATGACAAAAGTACAACACATCATGCAGCTGTACTATAGCTAGATTTGAACTATAATTCAGTATATTATAGAAAATTGGTTACCAGCTGAAACCGATTAATATAGCTTTTAGGTTCATTTAAACAAAGCTGTTTTTGGTTTAATAATTTTTGGCTACAACTATATGGCTATAATTCTATAATTATTTTACACTTTCATGCTAAAACATGCCAAAAGGTCTTGCACAGGTCATATTTTAAGTTTTATTTTATTCTCAATATGTTAAGTTTAGTAAAGAAACAGTAATTGCGCATGAAAATGTGTAGAAGTTTGTTCTCTGAAGAGGACATACTTATTTTCAGTTAGAAAATCAAAAAACATTTAATTTGTCCAGGAGTGCCAAAACCTTTGCATACAACAATGCAAACAATGTGTCTACACCAGCAGTGCACAAATCCAACATTATGCAAGTAAATTAAGTCATTAAATAAACAAAATCATGAGAATTTTATTAGTAGTATACTACCACTATTTTCTAACTTCTTAATCTCTTCGAATTCTGCTGCTTTGCTTTTAACTGATGTACAGTAAGGGGAAACAAGTATTCACTTTTTTTGTATACACTTTTGTTTTTGTTATTTTATGTACTTAAGATACTAAGTAGAATAGAATTCAGAACCATTAGCCAACTGTGTTTTGCACACAGAGGAATTAGACCTCTGCATTTAACCCATTTGTGCAGCGAAACACCCACATACATGCACACTAGTGAACACTCACAGTAGGGGGCAGTGAGAACACTTTCCCAGAGCAGTGGGCAGCCCTATCCACAGCACCCGGAGAGCAGCTGGGGGATAGGTACCTTGCTCAAGGGCACTTCAGTCATGTACTGTTGGTAGAGGGGATCGAACCAGCGACCTTCTAGTCACATGGCTGGTTCCCTAACCTCCAGCCCACGACAGTCTTTTTTTCTTAGCCAGGGGTATCACTAGCAACCCATTCCCAAAGAAATGTACTAGTTCAAATCATCTATACTTTATCGTCATGTTATTCTCATTCGCATCTTAAAACTCACATTATACTGTTACAGCAGATCTGCCTACCAGATTTACTAGTGTAATGTGACAAATGGAACCCCTGGCTTGGCCAATCATATAAGACCTCATAAATTGTAAACCAAACATATCAGACCTCGTAAGTTGTAAAACAAACATATCAGACCTTATAAGTTGTAAGCCAATGATATCAAACCTTGGGGGTGGGGGTCTCTGGTTACTTGCTCAGCAAAGTCAGCAACTGCTGAAGCTGAAGATGGAATTTTGGCTAAAATCTTACTCAAATAAACAGCAGACCTTATTTAAAACCTATAATATACAGAGTGAAACACTAAGTATTTACAAAGTGAAGATACCCACCTTGATTATGGATTTGTGGCAAATTATGGTTATCGTATATATTTGGTTATCGTGTTTTTTAGCTAGCTAACTTTGGGTTTACGTTAGGTAAAGAAAAGGGCTTAGGCTAACACTAACATTAGCTAGCTGTGGGGTGGCTGAAACAATCTGTTCTTGTATTTTTGGACAATTCCAGTTATATGACTAGATGTCATGATTCAACTCAGCCATATTGCAGCCAGTATACAGAGAGCAACTCATGTACAACAGAGCAGTTCACAATCCTTTTCAATCCTTTCATGTTGATCCTTAGAGAAGCTTTGCTGGGAGTTTATGTTGTCTGTTATCTACTAGCATTTATATAATTTTTTGTATGATTTCATAGTAGTATGACATTGTATTTTGCAAGCTGTTTACCTCTCATTATACTGTTTCACCATCTTTTGCTACACATTCAATGTTAGTTCACTGTTTGTTTATGCAGCTGAGAACTGTCAGTTTGTATTGCTTAAATCATTCGAATGCTAGTGCAAGGTATATTAGTGAAGGGGAACATTTTGTATTTATCATTTCAGTTTTCACAAGATAAAAGAGAAAACGGTGATTGCGAGCCAGGCCCTCTCAACATCAGTGTCTGACCTCACAAATGCTCTTCTGGTTGAATGAGCGAAAATTCCCACAGACACTCTCCAAAATCTTGTAGAAAGCTTCCCAAAAGAGTGGAAGCTGTTACAGCTGCATAGTGGAGACCAACCTCCTATTAATGCCTATGGATTTAGAATGGGGTGTCATAAAAGTTGTTTCCATTACTGAAGCCTCTAGAGGGCAGTAAATGATTGTGTTGATTCTATGTGGGGACAGCACTATCTGTGACTTTATGGTCATATGATCCTGTACACCCTTAACCCACCAATCTAATGTGTCCTTCGTGCTTTGGAGATGTCCAGCTACTGTATTTCTAACATCTGTAGTGTTACCAACTCCAGTCAAATAAGTCCAGAGTTTCTCCTGTGGTGCTGAACTCAACCTGACTGAGAGCTCTGAAAAAGCTACGTGTGAAATGTTCAATATGGTAGCACTACTAAGCAGACTCTCTCTTTCTTTCCTTTTGTTTTGTAAGATGTGGTTCAGTCTTGTGAGATAAAATGTATGCCAACATTCCTCTTCTTCAATGGAAAGAAGGTCGGATGACTGAGAAAATGAACACCCCTAGTCAAACGGAACATTTTGCATTGTTTTTTTTTTAATTGAAGAGAAAATACATTAACACACCCTCTATAGAGAACACACTTAAATGTGAGATTGTTTCTGCATATTGTACTGCAACATTTCTATTTGTTTGTGGAGTTTAATGTAATGTAAAATAATGAATTATAAAATATAAAATATGGCATAACTTCTGCCCAGGCCACATTTCATGTTGTTTTTTTTCCCCAAATATGCCAAATTCAGCAAATACTCAGTAATTATTTATTAAAACGAGAATAAATGTGTTCTCTGTAGAGGATATGTAAACTTATATTCACTTGAAAAATAGACAAAACGTCATTTGACCAGGGGCACCGCAACGTCAGCATACGACTGTGGGTTTAGAGCAAGATTTCAGAGAATCTCTTACATTCAAACTGAGGCTATAGTTCCATATTTTTAGTTGAATTTTAGTTAAAGACAAGATGAGAATCTACAACAGACTCTCAAAATAAGGTATTACTCTTAAATTAACTAATAACCAGCACAAGTTTTTTTAGTCTGTGAAATTTGACACTTCTGAATGACCAGAATGAATCTGTAAAACCGTGTAGCTTCAGTGTCTATACCCTGCAAACTAACGCTGGAATCAGGTTTGATAAACAGTTCTCTAGAGTACAAACAGCCTCTACTTGTTAACCTGTAGAAGTATTTTGGTCTCTCAGACATGTTGATTTAGTAAACATAGGAGAACACTTACACCCACAATCTAATAATAACCAGAGCTTGATGCAATAGAAAAATGCGAGTTTATTCCAAATGTTGCTCAAGTAATCACAGAAATAATAAGAAATTTGTGGAAGAAAAGAAAAATACACAAATGAGAAAAACAAAGAAAATGAAATTCACAATATCTCTTAACATTCATTTAAATCAAAAGTATAACCTAAAAAAACAAGATTTCAAATGCCTAACAGTCATCTGGGATATGTGTGTTTTAGAAGATGTTATTTTTAAATTCCTCTCTCCAGACACTTAAGCAGGCACTGGTGTGCTGGCAACTCCCAAGCAAAAGGAATCAATTCACTAACAAAAACATTAGTAAGCTATAATAATAATAAACAATGTAAGAACAGAAATGACAGGCACCCTGCAATCTCATTAATTAACAGAACCATTTCATGACATATAGTGAACGTCCCTTTTAAGATACAAACAGAAATCTTTAATGAAGAAAAGAGCAACTAATAATAATTGAATTTAAAAAATAAACAGAAAACCAGATCAGACTGGGTTCCAGATTGCTTCTCTTTTTTAACAGTAGGCTTGAAGAGAGGATGAAGTGTAACAGTATTAAACATGTTCTAAATGGACAGACGGTGCTCAGTAACAGCTCTGTGAGGAGCACTAACATCAACTTAGCACAATAACTTTACCTGATACTCAGTTACATGCAAAACAACTTTTGCACAGGCCATATTTTATATTTTTTCCCCCAACGTGTTAAATTGATCAATTCAATTCAGTAATCTGACCAGGGGTGCCTAAAGTTTAGCACACAACTTTAAGCCCAGTAATTTTTAGCTCAAAAATATACAGCATCTATTAAAACAGAGCAGACTCTCTTAAAGACAAATAGGTTAGGATGGATAAACAGACCTGATCACTGAACTGACAGAACAGATATAATATAGGGTGACACTAGTGGTGAAGACCCCACACTGGAGGTTTTTTTTTTGGTTTTTATACACTGAAGATCGCTCCTCTTACCAGCACTTTTGAGTTCATAAACCACCTTACACCACAGTTTGTTCTTCTGATCTCTCTTTTTAATGGCTGTGATGTGAAAGACCTCGTATGGAGGAATCAGCACCTCTTGCTCATGTGGCACAGCTGAGTATTTTTTCAGTTTAGCTCCGTAACGAGTTTTAATTTCGAAACAGGACTCTTCACCAAAATGTGTCAAATTGTTTAGCAAAGAGCTGGAAGTGAAAGTACCAAATCGAATTTTTTGATTTACAGCAACTTTTCCAAATGTAACACTGGTTCTGCGATATGAGGTCACACGCCGAAATCTTTGACTTAGTTGTTTTTTGAGTTGCTGAACTGCATCAGTCAGAAAGAAATACAGTGTGTAAAATTTAAAGGTATCTGACTTGTATGATTCTTTTCCGTTACGACAAGCATCGTTTAACACCACATAGGAGCAATTTTGGTTCTGTGATTTGACCTGTGTATACATGTATATGGCAGCAGACTGGTATTTCCCAAGACTACCTTTTGTACTCTTATTAAGTGCCTTTTCCCAGGCATCTGCAAAGCCAAAAGTTTTCTGTTTTTCATGTTCAATGTACTTTTTCATTACTAAGTCATACATGCTTTTCCTGCAGCCTTCAAAGGAGTCATCCACTGAGTTGTCAGCCATGTCCAGGGGCCAAACTTCACCATTGCTCTGCAGAAATAATAGCAAAGGTACATCAAAAAAAATCACACACAATAGCTGAAAATTGGATTATTATTTAATAGCAGCAATTATAAAATGTCAGGAAGGTTTGTGTACCTAAATTAGTTTTTGTGTTATTTTGCTGTTATTTCTTCTGAATCAACAATCTGATAATGTACCAGCTGGCAGTGGCCTCGTGAATACATAAATAAAATATATATGATTTAGTCTCGGGGTAAATACATGGTTCCTACCTTCCTTGCCGATACAGAAACCGTCATCAAGAACAGCACAGTGACCACAGACACGGTCATCTTCATACAGCTTAAGTCTTTTCTAAAGGACAAACCACTTAACAATGAACAAAGATACTTGACCATCACATAATATTCTAGACATACATAACTATTCTTCAGTAGGTGTATCTATGTATATATATATATATATATATATATATATATATATATATATGTGTGTGTGTATATATATATATATATATATATATATATATATATATATATATATATTAAGAATTTTGAATTTGAATGTCCTAATCTGATGACAGACATTTAATTTGGGTGAATGATGTAGAAGTAAGAGCAAGAACAATAGTTTATTTCATTGTCGTTACACTTTTGTGATAAAGTAGATAATGTCAACTCGCACTGCTGTCAACTGCTAACACTATGAGCAGATCATTTACCTGGAAAAATGTTGTGTGATCGGCTCATAAAGTTAATAAAAGTATCATTATTAAGTGAAAATATTTTTAATTTAAACACTGCCTTTGTGTGGCGAGAACCATGCAGAACATCTTGCTTTTCATTTCAGAGAGCTGATATTAACAAGTCAGAGATTTCACACAGGCTGTGCGTGCAGAGCAGCAGAGCATCCCAGCTACTGGTACTTAGAAAGCAGAGGAGCCGCGTGCATCACGCAACAAAAAATATATTACAATAAACCATCAAAATAAATAAAAAGAAAACAGAAACCCTGCAAAACTCTTAAAAATGTAATGTAAATTCTATTCTATATTTTATAATCAAACAAAATACTATCATCAAAAAACATTCCATGCTGATTTCCTGGTTGTTCCTGGGCTTGGAACTGTCGTCCAATCACAAGTCAGAATGATGTTGAGGATAAACAGATGTACCTGCTCTTTAATGATTTATATATTTCCACAGTTGTGAGTGAAACAGAACGGACAGCAAAAAGTGTGCTTCAAACCCACCCAAAGCTAAAATGGACTCCGAATGTGTCCAAATGTAAATGTCTGAAACATGGTTTAAAAAAAACCCCAACATATTGATATGAATAATTACTACATTAACAACGTCTTTTAATTAATAATTGTCAGTGTCTCCTTATAGAGATCTGTTTCTGTGATATTACATGGGACGCCACTGATGCCACTTCTCTTACTTTACATGCTTTTGTGTTCTCGGGTTGCCAGCTATTCATCACTAGGATCAATTTGCATTCACGTGATTATTTGTTTTCATTTTCATTTGTTTCTGTGGCTGCAGTACAGTTAGAAAATAGTCCATACAAAGACGTATCCCATACAAAATCCACCTGCACTGCACTTTCAAAATGGCCATATTTGTCAGGAAACAGCAGCTTTTTGCTGGTTGCCATAGCAACTTTGCATGCTTAAAATCCCTGCTTTGAATGCAGTTTCACTATAGCAGGTATTTTCAGACTATTATGTGCAGTTGTACTACCATGGCTTTTCTCAAACAAATGCCCCCCCATAAGCTCAGGAAATAAATAGAAATTATGACCCAAAAATTGAAGAAAAATTTCATATTTAAGTGTGTTCCATGTATAGGATGTGTTAACTTATTTTCACAAAACATGTAAGTTGACCATATATGTATATTTAACTATGTATACACAAACAAAATGGTAAAATGGTATTTTTCCAAGAGAAGATGAGATCACATTACAGTCACGATTACCATTCAGACACAATTACACCACACGCTGCAAAAAAACATGGCTTGTCGGTTCAACTGTCAATTCAACTTTTTTGCCTCGAAAAAATGCTTTTTATTTTAGTAAAATATTAGTTTAGATCAACAAAAGTAATACTATAAACCTCAAAACACTTCAAGTCAACTTCTGCCTACTTTTTACCATGCAATAACACTCAAAGATACTTTACTGACCTGCTTTTGGTGGGATGGTGACCAAAAGTGAGCACAAACTCACAGATGTTTGCTTGAATCTGGGACTTCACTGTCCAGAGTTAATCCAAAGTTGTAGAGATGAATTCAGTCAGGGGAGCCAGGTAAAGTTCAGTAAAAGAAACGGGCAGAGAAGTTGTTTCCTTTCATAGCTGATCAGCAGCATATATACATCCTCAAGCCCCACTCTTATGAATAACCGAGCCCTTATAAAGCCATGCTAATTTTAGCGATGGGTTTATCAGTTCTGTGTTTTTTTCATGTGGGACTCAAAGGTGACCAACATATTTGCATTTTTTGCACTTACCATCTATGGTGTAAACCACATGTCAGGCTCCAGTCCTCACAGGCCAACACACTGCACACTTCAAGACACATTGCCTCATTAAACACACTTGATTCAGCTAAACAGCTAATTAGCAACGCCTTCATTAACTGAATTCAGAGCGTTAGATGAGGGTAACGCTGATCTCCACAGCACTTTGGCCTGGAAGATCCCCAGTTTGACATGCCTGGTGTAAACCAATAAAACACTGTACAAAGGCTCATAGTTTTAGCATATGACAAAACTGATCAAAAGAAAAAAAAAGAAACAACTGCATGCCTTATACGTATTGATTTCATTGCCAAATAGCCAACTATGCAATTTCACAAAATGTACCCACGCTAGTAAGGGAACAACTAGACTCAATTTAGTTCTCTGCATATGTTAATAGAATCAATTTCATCCACATTGCACAGCCAGTACATGTGACAGCACAATCTATGCAATTCTCCAGGGCAGAACCAGCAATAGGTGTGGGAGATGGTGTGAGAGATAAAAATCACTGCTGTCAGGAAAAAATCTTGTATCTCCATTTTTGTCATTTTTCGGTTTTTGTCATAGTTTGGAAATGCCTGTTGTCCTTTACATTTGTGAGTAAATTTCATGATAAATGGACTAAAAGACTCCACACCTGCCCCCGGCATCTTCCCTCCACCCATTATTAAAGTTGTTACAGTTGTCCCGAAATCCAGGAGGATTGGACGAACATCGCCATGGAGTCCTCACTGCTTGGAGAAATAGTCAAAGCACTCTTCCTCCTGCAGCAGACACAGCATCAAGCTTTCCTGGATGTCCAGCAGGAAAACCAGGCCCGCTTCGAGGCCCTGGCTCAGGGCCAAGAGGCGGACAGGAAGCTTCTCCAGAGTTTGTTGACAGCCACCGGTACTCCAGCTCCGGCTACCATCCCCATCTCGAAGATGACTCCACAAGACGACCCAGAAGCGTTCGTGGAGCTCTTCGAAAGAGTGGCGGAAGACTGGGGATGGCTGAAAAAGGACTGGGCCATCCAACTGCTGCCCCTGCTCACGGGGGAAGCCCAGCTTGCCGCCCAACAGCTCCCCGCTCAATCGCAGCTGGAGTACGACGAGCTGAAAAAGGCCATCCTCCAGAGGGCTGGTCGAACTCTGGAGCAACACCGTCAGCGGTTCCGCATGCTGATGTTCGATGAGTTTGACCGGCCCTTTGTGCTGGCTCAACAGCTCCGTGATTCCTGCAGGAAGTGGTTCTTGTCCAAAGAATGCAATTCTGAGAAGGTGCTCGACCTGGTGGTGCTGGAGCAGTTCATCGCCCGCTTGCCCGAGGAGATGGCAGCTTGGGTCTAGTGCCACCAACCAGAATCGCTGGACGAGGCCACAAAGCTCTCTCTCTCCCTATTCCCGCTCCCAGAAAGAAGGAAGCTCTAGCCCCGAAACCCTTTCCCCGCTCTCGCCATCCCCGAAACTTTCTACCTCCTGCACCCCCCTGCAGCTACTCATGGTCTGTCGTCTCTCTGCACAGGGAGCAACAGCTGAGCCCACAAGAGCTGGGGTGAAGCCTGGGCAGGCGTGTTGGCGATGTGGGGAGCCTGGACATTTCCAAGACCAGTGCCACCACATGGAGGTCGGACCATTGGTCCGGGTTCCCACGTCGCCACCCACCTCCCCTGATCAAGCTGGAGCGTACCGTATACCAGTGAGTATTCAAGGGGGTACACATCAAGCCTTGGTGGATTCTGGCTGTAATCAAACCACGATTCACTGATGCTTGTTCCAAGATGTGGCTTTGGAGAGGGCATATCAGGTGAAGGTGTAGTGTGTCCACAGGGATGTACACAACTATCCTCTCCTACTCATTACAATTGAGTTTTGGGGAAAAAAGCATAACGTGCAGACGGCGGTTAGTCCTTGCCTTACCCATCCTCTGATTTTGGGGACAAATTGGGCAGTTTGGGGTGCTAGTGAAGGCTTTGGTAGAGGATGGGTCCCGCAGTGCTATAAGGAAGGGGGCATGTGCCGCACTTGAGGCAGGCAGGCTTCCGCGTCCATCTGTGGCAGCTCTTGAGCGAGGGGGGACGAGAGGTGGCTCCTCCGGGGGTGGGGCTGAACCCGACAGCATGGCCATGCCTCCGGGGCTCATCCTCTTGGCTCACCTCGGGGATTTCCCTCTGGGGTAAGTGAAAGTTATTGATGGTCAGTTGCTCAAGCCATCCCAAAAGCGCCTTTACGCCCCCTTCCATTAATCGAGGTCCCCATCGAAAGAATTGGCATGGACCTCGTCGGACCATTGGATCGAAACGCACGTGGGAATTGCTTTGTATTGGTCTTAGTAGATTATGCAACGTGATATCCAGAGGCGGTGCCTCTTCACAACAGATCAGCACGTATGGTTGCAGAGACTCTCTTCAAAGTGATCTCCCGAGTCGGGATCCCAAAAGAGATCCCGACTGATCAGGGCACTACTTTTAAGTCACGCACTTTACACAAACTATATGAATTGTTGGGCATTAAATTGATTTGTGTCAGTGTTTACCACCCCCAAATGGATGGACTGGTCGAACGATTTCGAAAATATGATTCAGAAGTTCGTTCATGAGGACGCTAAAAATTGAGATAAGTGGCTAGAACCCCTGTTGTTTGCAGTGCGAGAGGTCCCACAAGCGTCCTCTGGGTTTTCTCCTTTTGAATTATTGTATAGGAGGAGAGCCAGGGGCGTCCTCGACGTCATTAAAGAGTACTGGGAGGAGGGACCATCAAACAGGAAAAACGAATTCCAGTATTTTCTTGACCTGAGAGCAAAACCCCAAGCACTGGGAGAATTTGCTCCAGGCTCAAGAACATCAGAGCCGCAACTACAACAGGGGCACTCAGCTGCGTAGATTTTCACCAGGAGAAAAAGTACTCATTTTACTCCCCACATCGAGTTCCAAATTGCTCGCCAAGTGGCAAGGACCCTTTGAGGTCACACAGCGAGTTGGAAAAGTTGACTATGAGGTCAGATGGACAGACAGAGGTGGGGCACTTCAGGTATACCACCTCAATCTCCTTAAACCCTGGAGGGAGGCGGCCCCTGTTTCTCTGGCGACAGTGGTTCCCAAGAGAGCTGAGCTGGGGCCGGAGGTCCCAACCAAACTTAATCACACTCCGGTCCCCTGTGGAGACCAGCTCTCCCCATCCCAGAAAGCAGAGCACCAAGTTACAATGGAGTTTTCCGACATGTTTTCCCCTCTGCCTGGCCGTACTGACCTCATAGAGCACCACATTGAAACTTCTCCTGGCGTGGGTGTATGCAGCCAGCCTTATCGCTTGCCTGAGCACAAAAAAAGGTGGTTCAGGATGAAATTAAGGCTATGCTTGATATGGCGGTAATCGAAGAGTCCCACAGTGATTGGAGCAGCTCCAGATCCCCTTGACTCCAGTATCCTGAGAAAAAATGGCTTTCTCCACGCCGTTTGGGTTACACCAATTCCTCACCCTCCCTTTCGGGTTATTCGGAGCACCGGCCACGTTTCAGTGACTCATGGATAGAATTCTCCACCCATACAGTGCTTACGCCGCTGCCTATTTAGATGACATTATCATATACAGCAATGATTGGCAGCGGCACGTGCAACATTTGAGGGTGGTTCTGAGATCGCTGAGATGCACAGGGCTTACGGCTAACCCAAAGAAGTGTGCAATTGGATGGGTGGAGGTGCGGTATCTGGGCTTCCACTTGGGTCACGGACAGGTGCGTCCCCAAATTGATAAGATGGCGGCAATTGCGACCTGTCCAAGACCCAAGACCAAAAAGGAGGTGAGATGGTTCCTGGGGCTGGCTGGCAATTATCGTAGGTTCATACCTAATTATTCAGACGTCACCAGCCCGCTGACTGATCTCACTAAAAAGGAAGCACCGGATCCGGTCCAGTGGACATAGCAGTGCCAACAGGCTGTGAATCGTGTTAAGGCAGCTCTCTGTGGGGGCCTGCTGCTGCAGTCGCCTGACTTTGCTCTCTGTTTTGTCTTGCACACTGACATGTCAGACAGAGGGCTGGGGGCCGCTTTGTCCCAGGTGGTGGAGGGGGAGGATCGCCCCATGCTGTACATAAGTCGAAAATTATCGTACAAGTAAGTACAGCCCCATTGAAAAAGAATGTCTGGCCATCAAATGGGCGGTCCGTCACACTCTGCTATTACCTATTCACCCTCTGTTCTGACCACGCCTCTCCCCAGTGGCTCCACCTCCAAATCCAGAATCACTCGTTGGTACCTAGCTCTCCAACCCTTTAGATTTGACGTGATTGAGTCGGGTGGTGGGGGTATGTGGAGCGTGGCCGAGCGTCAAATGCAGGATGGAGAGTTGGTCGGCCTGAACCAGCAGGCTAAGTAGCTGATGATATTCACCTGTGCCTTGTTTCTGCCAGCCTACTTATAGTCATCTCTTCCCTCAGTAGGTGGCAGAGCCCAGAGAGAGAAGGAGACCCGTGAAGGCATGAGAGCCGAGCCGAGCAAAGCTGAGCTGAACTGAACAAAAGAAAGAAAGGACTGAAAAGTCCCAGTGAGCATTTTGTCTTAATTTGTCTGTGGGCTGAAAAGCCGAGTGTTTTTTTGCATTGTGTATAAATAAAAAAAAAAAGCTCTCCATCTCCACACCTGCTCCTGGCATCCTCCCTCCACCCATTATTAAAGTTGTTACAATAAGGCTAACTAAACCGGTCATATGACAGACAAAACAGGTGCAAATAATCAGTATTCAGGTGAGGCAGATCGATGACAAGAGTTACATAATCACCCAAGGGATTCCGAGAAATGGAGTCCATGCTGGAGGGCTGCGTGACACCAACATACAGCACATTATACACTAGAAGATGACATTTAGCCTA